ATATACAGGAGGGGTCACAGCATGCCATCAGGGAGGATGCTGGCATTGGCCTCAGAGGAACAGCCCTGGTGATACCAAAGCCTGGGCATGGCCTCTACTCCAATAAAATTCTTAAAGCACTGCCTGTCTCCACAAGCTTTGGAGATCGCCCTCACCACCAGCTGACCTTGGGCAAGTAGCTTAATCTCTCTAAGCCTGTTTCCTCATCTGAGAATAATAATAATATTAATAATACCCACATCCTAGGGCTGCTATGAGGAAGAAACAGAATAAATGTGGGGCATATCACCAGCCCATGAGCAAACTCTGCTCCTGAGATCTAACGCTGACCCTGGAGGGCCTCCTGCTGCTGTCTTTGTACTGTATGACTGCTTCCTGCAGCTGCACTCCCAGGAAATGCAGGGAACAGAGAATTCGCCATAAGCTTTTGATCCTGCCTGCATTGCCTTGGTTTCCAAAGCATGACATTTCTTAATATTCTCCCCCAACCCTACTATTCACTCCTTAACCCATTAAACTGGCCTCAGCCTCCTCCATGGGAGTAGACGGCACGCCTGACAAGAGGAACCCCAGCATAGAGAGGGGGACAGGGCTTTGTATGTGCTTCCATCTTTTACCATGTGTCCAACTGACAACTTAACAAATCTGAGCCTCAGTTTCTTTTTTCTTTTTTTTTTGAGACAGTCTCGCTTTGTTGTCAGGCTAGATTGAGTGCCGTGGCATTAGCCTACTCACAACCACTCAAACTCCTGGGCTAAAGCAATCTCTGCTGGCCTCAGCAGCCTCCCGAGTAGCTGGAACTACAGGCATGCGCCACCATGCCCGGCTAATTTTTTCTATATATATTAGTTGGCCAATTAATTTCTTTCTATTTTTCTTTTTCTTTCTTTCTTTTTCTATTTATAGTAGAGACAGGGTCTCGTTCTTGCTCAGGCTGGTTTCAAACTCCTGACCTCGAGCAATCCACCTGCCTCGGCCTCCCAGAGTGCTAGGATTACAGGCGCGAGCCACTGTGCCCGGCCTCAGTTTCTTTTTTGAACACGTGTATACTATGCGTACACCTCAGGATGGCTATGAGGATTAAATGAGATAATACCCGACCAAGTTCCAAAGGAAACCCCTAATGACTGGTCAAGTAATGCTGACCACTCCTTTTCAAAACTCTGTCTTCCCTTTGCTTGCACAACACGGCCCTCGTGGCTCTCCTCCACTACCTCTGACTACTCGCTGTCTTTTCCTTTGCTTCTTTCTCCTTTGATGTTCCTTGATCATGTTGGGCTTCCCGGGTCAGTGTGAGCTCATTCACTGCCACCACCCACACACTACTGGAGACTGTTTCTAACTCTGAGCTCTCTGCTGAGCCTCGGATCCCCAGATCCAGCTGCCTATCTGAGTATTTGCATCCAAAGCAGACACATCACCTTCTCTCCTTGTTTGGCTTCCTCGATTTTTTTTTTTTTTGAGATGGTGTCGCTCTTGCCCAGGCTAGAATGAAGTGGCATCATCATATTTCACTGCAACCTCCAGGGCTCAAGAGATCCTCCCATCTCAGCCTCCCGAGTAATGCTGGACTACGGGCACGTGCCACCACATCCAGCTAATTTTTAAATTTTGTGTAGAGATGGGGTCTTGCTATGTTGCACAGACTGGTCTTAAACTCCTGGCCTCAAGTGATCCTTCTGCCTCAACCTCCCAAAGTGCTGGGATTAAAGGTGTGAGCCACTGCTTTCTGCATTTTTTTTTTTTTTTTTTTGAGACAGAGTCTTGTTTGCTGCCCAGGCTAGAGTGAATGCCATGGCGTCAGCCTAGCTCACAGCAACCTCAAACTCCTGGGCTCAAGCAATCCTGCTGCCTCAGCCTCCTGAGTAGCTGGGACTACAAGCATGCGCCATCATGCCCGGCTAATTTTTTCTATATATATTAGTTGGCCAATTAATTTCTTTCTATTTATAGTAGAGACGGGGTCTCGCTCTTGCTCAGGCTGGTTTCAAACCCCTGACCTCGAGCAATCCGCCCGCCTCGGCCTCCCAGAGTGCTAGGATTACAGGTGTGAGCCACCGCACCCAGCAAGGTGCATTTTTGATAAGTTACATAAGCATCTATCCAGTCACCCAAAACAAAAATCTTCGTGTCTTCTTAGATTCCTTTCATCCCCATTTACTCCACCACCCCATCCCCATATCCACCAGGTGTGGGCTGAGCAAGGGAAAACAAGAGTTTGTAGTGTGTGGATATCAAAAATGGTGGAAGTTATTTGAAACTGGACAGAAAGTTGTAACCCCAGATATGGGCAGGCTTGGCTCATAACACATGGTAAATTGACAGAGCTGCCTGCTATATGTCTGAGATGAGTCTGTGTGTACATCTGTGTATTCCTACAGGACTCAGTTCAGCTGGGTACAGTTTTCTGTGTTCACCTATTGTTTTTCTTTTCCTTTTTTTTTTTCTTTTTTGAAAGAGTCTTGCTCTGTTGCTTCAGCTAGAGTCCAGAGGCATGGTCATAGCTCACTGCAACCTCAAACTCCTGTGCTCAAGTGACTCTCCTGCCTCAGCCTCCTCAGTAACTGGGACTACAAGTACACAGCACCACACCCAGGCAATTTTTCTATAGAAAAATTTTTTGTAGAAATGGGGTCTCGCTGTATTGCACAGGTTGGTGTTGAATTCCTGACCTCAAGAGATCCTTCTGCTTTAAGTGCTAGGATTACAGGTGTGAGCCACCCCGCACCAGGCCTTTTTTTTTTTTTTTTTATGAGTTAGAGTCTCACTTTGTTGCCCAGGCTAGAATGCAGTGGCACAAACATAGGTCACTGCAACCTTGAACTCCTGGCCTCAAGTGATCATTCTGCCTCTGCCTCCCAAAGCATTAGGATTATAGGCAGAGCTACTTTGCCCACCCCCCCTACTGTTTCTTAAGGACACAACTGGTGTATAAGTTACAGGAAATTCACATTATGCTCTAACCATTCCTTTATACAGTAATGATGTTGGAACAAATTCGGGTTTTCTTTTTATTTTTGAGACAGAGTCTCGCTTTGTTGCCCAGGCTAGAATGAGTGCCGTGGCGTCAGCCTAGCTCACAGCAACCTCAAACTCCTGGGCTCAAGCGATCCTCCTGCCTCAGCCTCCTGAGTAGCTGGAACTACAGGCATGCACCACCATGCCTGGCTAATTTTTTCTATATATATTAGTTGGCCAATTAATTTTTTTCTATTTATAGTAGAGAGGTCTCGCTCTTGCTCAGGCTGCCATTGTCCAACACTTCATCAGGGGATCTACACAATGCAATAGGATAACCATCTAAGAATTAGGAAGAAACAACACTGTCATTATTTGCAAATGATGTGATTGCCTACAGAGAAAACTCAGAAGAATCTACAGATAAGTTATTAGAATAACACAAAGTATATAGCAAAGTAAATGAATATAAGATTAACAAAAACAAATTGGACTTTCATAGGCCAGAAAGTTATAAAACATAATTTCAAAAATATTACCTATAGCAACAAAATATATAAAATATCTAGGAATAAATAAAAAAGATGTGGAAAGGCTTCTGCTTCTGGCAGGACAGAATAATAGAGACTATTAAATCTAGCCTCCTGCCTGAAACAACAAAAAGGAACCCTGGACAAAATATAAGAAACAAGTTTTCAAGACAATGGGCATGAGGAAATGAAAGAGTAATCCCTGAGAAACAAGGAACAAATTGAGACGAGTTCTCTCTTGCCCAGATTACTGCCTTGAGAGTTTCCAGACCATGGAGCAGGGAACCACTTGGAGCCCAGAGGATTCCCTGAGTTGTAAAGATGAACTGACTGCTGGGTGGCCACATAGCAAGACCCCATCTCAACAACAACAAAAAAAGATGAGCTGAAGCCATGTGTGGTGGTGTGCGCCTGTAATCCCAGCTACTCTGGAGGCTGAGGACAGAGGATCACTTGAGCCCCGGAATTCGAGACCAGCCTGGGCAACATAGTGAGACCTAGCCTCAAAAAATAAATAAATAAATAAAATATGGGGTGAGTTTAGGGAGACCAAAGCAGCTAACGGTTGCAGGACAGAATACCAGAAAGCAGAGAGCAACAGAGAACATGAACTCCAGAGCACTGTAGCGGGGCCCCTCAATTACCCAGCAGAATATTGATTAAAGATATAAATATGAAAGACAAAAACCTCCATAAAAGATAGACAAATGTGGCTTCATTAAAATTAAAATTTTCATTCAATAAACACATCATAAAGAAAGAGAAAAGGGGCTGAGCATGGGGCTCACGCCTATAATCCCAGCACTTAGGGAGGCCGAGAAGAGAGGATCGCTTGAGGTCAGAAGTTTAAGACCAGCCTGGGCAACATAGCAAGACCCTGTCTCAAAAAAATAAAAAAGGGAAAAGACAAATCACAAAGTAGATGAAGATACTAGCAGCATATGTTAACAACATCTAGAAGATATAGAGCTGGCCGGGCCCAGTGTCTCACACCTGTAATCCTAGCACTCTGGGAGGCCAAGGCAGGCGGATCACTTAAGGTCAGGCAGGAGTTCAAAACCAGCCTGAGCCACCGAGTGAGACCCGTCTCTACTAAAAAAAAAAAGAAAGAAGTCCAATGGCCAACTAAAAATTATAGAAAAAATAGCCAGGCATGTGGCACATGCCTGTAGTCCCACCTACTTTAGAAGCTGAAGCAGCAGGATTGTTTGAGCCCAGGAGTTTGAGGTTGCTGTGAGCTAGGCTGACGCCCATGGCTCTAGCCCAGGCAACAGAGTGAGACCTGTCTCAAAAAAAAAAAAAAAAGACCATTTATAACTCTGTACTGTCTACCAGAAGAAGAAATACAAAGACAACATACACATATATAAAATCAACAACATTTCTCTATACCAGCAATAATCACCTAGAAAATGCTATCAAAAGATTCAAAACAGCCACAATAAGCATTCATGATTTTATTGAAGACTCATTCACAGGATTTTGACCTGAGAAATGGAGATTATAACGTACACCTTCAGGCACCCACACTGATCCTACTCAAGGACCCCCTAGCCCCCTCTCCAGGCTTCAAGACAGTTGTGATTTCATCGCACCCCAGACACTTCTTTTGCAAATGGAGCCAGGCCTCAGATTGTCCTCAGCTATCACTCTCCGGCAGCTGATGACAGACACCGGCCTCCCCTTCCATTAGGCCAGCCGCTGTCTAATGCATTTGAACCACAAAATGGGCCCTCACGTCGTTCCTAGCCCAGCTCCATCTGCATAAACTGGAACAGACAGCAGTCCCCAAGGGTACAAAATATTTTCTTTCTAGATCATTTTCAAGGAAAGGGGGACGAAAAGAAACATATGTGCTCATGCAGCTTCTATGGCTGAAATAATTTATCTGCAGATGGGCTCTGTCTAGCCACTGATCAACCCGTTATGCTGCAGTAACTGAAATCTGTGTTCTGTCCAAAGGCGGTGAGAGAACTGGTGTGTCCATCTGAAGGTAATCGGGACTCTTGTCACTAAACTGGTACTTTAGGCCATAACTATAATAAACTGGTACTTTTTAGAACTACCTCAGATTCAGTGAAATTTCCAACTTTCTGAAATACTTTCACAGATTCTATGCTGGTCTCTTAAGGCTGGAAAGTAGGGACAAGAAAAATATCAAAATTAAAGTGACAAGTTAATCAATGGAGGTGACTACTAGGAGAAAAATAGGAAATTTTTATGATCCCAAAACAGAAAGAAAAAAAAGCACTTTGGGTAGAAAATCATGAGTGGCAATATTACAAAATCACGCCTTCGGCCTTGCCTGTGCTTGACAGTGTATTAGTAGCATCAGCACAACCTCAGGCAGAGAGAGCCCAGAGGGGTTACATTTACTTGAAATTTCATTCAAAATTTATCCAGGGCTAGTTTTTAAGAGTATCTGGACCTCTGTCAGCCAGAATTTTTTAAGGAGGCAAGAGGGATAGGTGTAAATCCTGGGAGGTCAGATGACATCAGAGCTACTTCCTGTTCCAGGTAGCCCTGGGAGCAAAAGTCAGTGGGTTTTTGTCTTCCTTTGGGCTTTGCTGATTCCTGCTGGTTTTGAGGTTAAAAGCACATTCTGGAGCATATGCTCTCCAGCAGCACTTCCTAACCTCTTTAAGCTGAAAAATAGACCTCTAACAATGCTGAGGCTATCTTTTAAGTGCTCCTAAGACAACTTCAACACAGCTTTGGGCAAGGAACACAAAGCCTCAGAGAAACCATAAAACAATCCATATGGCACCATAATATTGTTTTGTTCTGGGAATTCTGCCCTTAGATAAAACCACACAGTCATGAATACATAAACAAGCACTTTCTGAGCCATCGAAGGAGTGAGCCTCAGCCCAGGGGAAAAGGGGGGAAAGCCGCAGAGCAAACCACGGCAAGTGCCCCATCTGACACTGACGGCAGTGCGAATCTCACTGCCGAGAGTTCACAGTGGAAAACAGACCTTGTTTTGTAACAGTCTCATCCTGAAGAGCTACACAGCAAATGCTCTGCTGTGTAGAGTATGGCCTGGTATCTGTTTGCTCGGCAAACAGATACCAGGCCATACTGGCTAAGTGGTTAGAACAGCCAGTGATAACTAAATTTTGGACAGTAAGGTCTTTAAAGACTTTAAGAGAAGACAGAGGATCCAGGCTGAGACAAACAGTCTTTGAAGACATCTGACCTGGACAGGCTGCCATCTCTTATGATTATTTCCTGTGTGGCTGTGAAAGTTAATGGGATAAAGCCCTCGTTGTCAGCAGAGAGAAGGATCCAGTGGGAGTCTGTAAAGTAAAATAAATGCAAAGGCAATTTAGGATATCTTATCTTATTGTATAAAGAAAAATATGACTACAATTATGCTTCATGGTTTTTTTGTTTTGTTTTGTTTTTTTGAGACAGGGTCTTGCTCTGCTATTCAGGCTGGAGTACAGTGGTGCAATCATAGCTCACTGCAACCTCCAACTCCTGGGCTCAAGCGATCCTCTGACAGCCTCCTGATTAGCTAGGACTATAGGCACATGCCACCACACCCAGCTAATTTTTAAAAATTTTTATAGAGATAAGGTCGCTCTATGTTGCCCAGGCTGATCTCAAACCCCTGGCCTTAAGCAATTCTCCCTCCTGAGCCTTCCAAAGTATTGGGATTACAGGTGTGAGCCACTTTGCAAAGCCAAAATGTTTTCTTGGGGTTTTTGTTTGTTTGTTTGTTTAGTACAGAAATACAGTAGTTGGTGATATTGAACCTGATCCTCATAAGATTTTATGGAAAATGGGTAGATGAAAGGACTATTACTTCGGGTCAGGTTATATAACAGGAAGGGGATACTGATGGCTGATACCCACTCAAAGTTAGTCACTTAGGCATAGCTAAGGGACATAACATTTCCACCCAAGGTAGGCATTTATTATTTAGTGCTAAGCATACAAGCTTGTGAGTGCATGTGTGCACACATGCACTAGGGCTTGTGTGTAGAGGGTCCCTACCTTATCTATATGCTGTTCACCAGTTTCTCCAGAAACAATGTGGATTTGGGAATAGCTACTCTGCAAAGGAACATTCACTATTCTGTAGATCCATACCAACCTTTAGCCACCAAGGAGACTAAGCTGACTAGAGCTAGACTTGGGTAGCCCAGATAAACCTGAATGTTTATTCCATGGTAACCTAGGGGCCACTAGCATAACACATGCTTGGACCTTCTCTTGTTCAAGTCTAATACGTGTCACATTTTGATCCTGTGATTTCACTTCTAAAATCTATACTCTCAATAATAACACATAAAATATGCAGAGAACTTTTTTTAGTGTTATTTATAATGGTGGAAAATTGGGAATAATTTAAATGTCAAAGAAAATATGGCAAAGTAAAATATGGCACACCCCAGAATGCAATTTTAACCCCACCCATTAAAAATGACAATTATGGGCCAGGCGAGGTGGCTCACGCCTGTAATCCTAGTACTCTGGGAGGCCGAGGCGGGCAGATTGCTTAAGGTCAGAAGTTCGAAACCAGCCTGAGCAAGAGCGAGACCCCATCTCTATTATAAATAAAAAGAAATTAATTGGGCAACTAAAAATATATAGAAAAAAAAATTAGCCGGGCATGGTGGCGCATGCCTATAGTACCAGCTACTCAGGAGGCTGAAGCAGAAGAATCACTTGAGCCCAGGAGTTTGAGGTTGCTGTGAGCTAGGCTGACATCACGGCACTCTAGCCAGAGCAACAAAGTGAGACTCTGCCTCAAAAAAGAAAAAAAAGACAATTATGAGGTATAATGGCTCACACCTATAGTCCTAGCTACTCAGGAAACTGAAGTGGGAGGATTACTTGAGCCCAGGAGTTCAAGTCCAGCCTGGGTATCATACTGAGACCCCATCTCTTACAAAAAAAAAAAAAAAAGAACTTTTAAAATGTAAAAATGACAATTATGAAGCCGTATCAAAAATGCATGTGTCGGCCAGGCATGGTGTCTCACGCCTGTAATCCTAGCACTCTGGGAGGCCAAGGCAGGAGGATTGCTTGAACTTAGGAGTTTGAGACCAGCCTGAGCAAGAGACAAACCCTGTTAGCCGGGTGTGGTGGTACATGCCTAATAGTACCAGCTACTCAGGAGACTGAGGAAGGAAGATTGCTTGAGCCCAGGAGTTTGAGGTTGTAGTAGTTTGAGCTACAATGAGGCCACTGCACTCTAGCCTGGTGACAGTTAAAAAAAAAATGCATGTGTTAGAAAAATGCTAATGATGCAATGTTAAGAGTAAAAAGTAAAACAATATTTTATGTTCAATGTGGTGGCTACTGTTAAATGAGTGAGACATAAGAAAACTACCATGAAGGCTGGGCGAGGTGGCTCACACCTGTAATCCCAGCACTAAAAAGGCTTAGGCAGGAGGCCTGTTTGAGCTCAGGAGTTGGAAACTAGCCTGAGCCAAGAGTGAGACCCCGTCTCTATTAAAATTAGAAAAATTAGCCAAATGTGGTGGTGCATACCTGTAATCCCAGCTATCCAGGAGGCTGAGGCAAGAGAATCGCTTGAGCCCAGGAGTTTGAGGTTGCTGTGTGCTACAATGACACCACTGCATTCTACCCAGGGTGACAGAGTAAGACTCTGTCTCAAAAAAGAAAACGGAAAACCACCATGCTCCACATCTGATGAACGTGGGCATGATTCCGTCCCTTGCCATGTGGGAATGTCTTCCACAGACCCATGTTTGTACCACAACAGAATGACAACTCCTTAAGAGATATTCTGCAATGCTGTTATGATCTTAATGTTTTAGTGCAAAAGAAACACACAAGGTTTTTATGTTATTTCCTTTCAGTTGTTATATGTATATTGCTTTGTAACTCTTTTCTACTTTTTTTCGTGTGAGTGTTGAATTTTTCCAGCTAGGCTGTAAGCTCCCTAGGGTCAGAATGTGTATTTTCCATGTTTTGGCAGCTTTCATAGGCCTGGGTATACAGTAGGCAATTAATAATACTTGTTAACTATCTACTGAATCACTGAATGGTTGATATCCCTTACTTTCATTACCAGTGGAAGTTAAAATAGAAAAGGGTGGGAACAATATTGCATAGAGTCATTTTTTGAATTTAACCTACCATGCAGCATTTCAATGAGAGAGAGGCCAAAAGTCTGCTGAACTGTACTGAGCCTTAGTTTGTCGTCGCAGAGAAGCACCGCTCTTTTTTCAACAACAGGACCTGCATAATGGAGTTTCTTCAAATAAAAAACAAAAGTTATTAAACTGATTGCAGAAGCAATGGAGTTAAAATTTGTTAAGAATAGCATGTGTAAATTGTTTATTTACTTGTTTATTTTTGAGGCAGTCTCGCTCTGTCACCCCAGCTAGAGTGCAATGGCATCATCACAGCTCACAGCAACCTCAAACTCCT